GCAGCTCGACAACAATATTATTGAAAAGATAGAAGCACTGGACTCTCTGGTTAATCTGGTTTGGCTAGGTAAGGTAATCTCTGGAAGTGCCATCCTGAATATATATCTCTGATCGCGGATGTTTCTACATGTCAATAAGGATTCCATTCTAGCAATTGTGGGCCATCTGAAATTGTGTCAAATGCCACAGCAAACAGAAACTTTGCTACCTCTTGGCAGTTTGCCCAGCCCAGCCCTGCTCTGCCCTGCCCTGCCCGGTGCATCTTGACCTGAGTAGAGACAATGCTTTATTTCTCTATGGTAGGATTTTTGCTTTTCCTGTTATGTAGAATTGCGATTAGTGCTGTGTTCCCGTAACAGAAAAGTCTTACCTTTCTGATCAGATGATATTCACATCTGATGTGAGAAAGAGCTGATAAGTGATTTCGTTTGCTTATTTACTGGATTTATTCTCAGCCCCATTCAATAGATTCTCAGCAGATTTTACTGTTTGTTTTTTTCAGGAGCTGTGAAGTTATTTTATCACCAATGTTCTACAAATGACCATGTGGGTTTGCAGGTCTTGTCTGGGAGGGATTTGATGGCTTCCTTTTGGGACTCACACGCTCCAACCTTGTTCCCACAGATTTGTCCTTCAATAATATCGAATTCATTGAAGGCTTAGACACATTGGTAAAGTTGCAGGACCTGAGTCTGTACAATAACAGGATCTCCCAGATTGAGAATCTGGATACACTACAAGAACTCCAAGTCTTTTCAATAGGAAATAATAATATCAACAATCTGGACAATGTAAGTTTTTGATTTATAAATTATAACTTTATAAATCTTTCTTGGGCATTTAGTCAGTTTTGAACTCAGAAGATATATTTTAGTTTATGCTGCTCCTCTTCTGATTTTCCCCCCTAAGGTAAAGGTGATATACGGGGACAATGACACATCTGTAGCTGGACAATGAATCACCAGCTAAGGAAGCTGCTATTGATGACCTTAATAATTAGGATTTATGTAATGCTAAATAAATATGAAGGGTGGAAACCAATGTGATTGTTACAGCCTGTCTGAGAAATATAACAATACATTATAATACATTGTGGATCTCAATATTTTAAAAGAAATTGTTGAACTTGTATTGGAAATATTAAAATCTGAGAATAAAATTCCTCCAGTCCCAAGCACCGTACTAAATTTTCTAAACAGATGCTTCCTGAACCAAATATCCATACTTCACTTCTTCTTTTGTCATTTGTGACTATTGCAATATTTGTATTAATCAGTTAGAGGCTTCTTGATGAGCTGGGTCTTTTTCTCCATCTACCGCAGATGATTTATCTCAGGAAATTCAAAAACCTGCGCACACTAAACCTCACTGGGAACCCAGTGTGTGACAATGAAGTGTACTCCATGTTCATTGCGGCTTACCTGCCCAATCTCGTGTACCTGGATTTCAGGCTGGTGGAGGAGAACAGTGTAAGGCTCTCAAGAGGCACTCCTCATGATAAACCGATATTAGCGAGACCCCCCCCATGGCCATGCCATCCCCCTCGGGGGGATTCTGCTGGCACGACCTCGGAACCCAGTTCTAATCTCAGCTGATGGCCATTCCTGTCTCTCCTTCCTGCCAGCGAGAGATGGCCCTGATGAAGTACCAGTATGCCATAGAAGAGATGAGGCATGGGGAGACGCTGCTCCTGGCCAAGCAGAAGGAGTGGGAAGCCAGGGAAAAGGAGGTGGAATACCACAAGGTAGGTGGCACTCTCACTGGCTCTGGGTCACGGGACCCCGGGGAGCAGCTGCTGGGTGCCTTCTGCCTCCCCAAGTTTTAATGGGACCTCCTTAAAAATCACCCCGTGAAAACAGAGTCAGAAACTGGCGTCCCTTTTGCTGTTTGAAAGGAAAATTTGTCCATTTGCTTAGCTCCTGAGCAAAATTCCCTGCGCTGCAATATAAAGCCTGAAGTTTCCGGGGGAATGCCACAGCTGGATTCACACACCAAGTTGGCTGAACAAACTACTGGATCCTGGTTAAGTCCCAGATCCTAATTTACTAATCGACACATCCTGCTGTGCTAAAATAAAACCTCTCCCCCTCCCCGGCACTGCATTTTAGTGCAAGGTGTGAGTTTACTTCAAGGTGTAAACTTTCTATGCCAGTGTTTCTCAACCTTGGCAACTTGAAGATGTCCGGACTTCAACTCCCAGAATTCCCCAGCCAGCATTCGCTGGCCGGGGAAGTCTGGGAGGTGAAGGCCAGACATTTTCAAATTGCCAAGGATGAGAAACACAGGCGTACAAAAAATTAA